TGATTGTCAACATTCTGTGAAGAAAACGGTAATAAATCTGATCACTTGATATGATATGAGGGAGACATGCATATTTTTGTAGTAACTTCTCGTGAGTTCTCCATTTTAAAGAAGTTGCTGCTCTCTGTTCTGCTGTTGTTAATGCAGGAATCAAGTCAGGAATAGACAATAACTAGAAATAAAAATATAAACATTAAAATAATTTCACATCTTCTAGCTGTATATCATGTTACTATGCTTAAAAACTACACCACAGCAACATAAGAAGGGAAGAGATTTTAAGGGGTTAATTAATTCCTCTACTCAGACAGGATCAGCTACACTGTGACCATTTACATGGTCTAATGATTGGGATTAAACAATCTCCTCTAAGCCGTAAATTCCACCTAACTAAATAGACTTTCATTTCCAGCCCCTCCTCCTTACAAAGAAAAATAAATCACAGTTCTCTCCCTTTTACAGATATGAAGATCTTTACAATAACCCTCCTCATTCTTCTCTTTCTCAAACCAAATATATCCATTTTCTTTCTAGCCTCTTAATCTTCGGAGTTATTCTTCTCAGCTACCTAGTTACTTTTAGTAGGAATTATACATCTTTTCTCAGTTGGAGGAAAAGCCATTATAGTAGCCAAGTTAAATTCTCTTTAGCACTAAGCAAAACGAAACAGACTGCCACACTATAACATTTTATATGTTATAGACATTTACAGTTGTAAACATCTGACAAATTCACATTTTAAATTACACTCTCAACTTTTGTCCATACAAGAAAATAAATTTATTCAGTTCTTGTATTGTTGTAATATCTCAACTTCTCTATACATCTAGGACGTACGCTCAAAACATCATCTTGAAGCAGAAAATGATCTTTTAGGTTCCATCTTACAGGTGAGGAGTCTCTGAATAAACAAACCATCATCCAGAGCCACATATAACTAAATTAGGAGCTGAATACAGATCTCCTAAATCCTAATTCTGTGTCTTTACTTCAGGAAATAGGCTTCCATTTAGCAGAAACTGTGTCTGAAAACAGCAACTGTGGGCAGCTGCCACATCAACAGAAAAAAAAAAAATAGGTATTAACTCTCACTCCTTTAGCAAGAAAGTAAATTTTGTTTTAACTTAATGATTGTATTTCAAAATTTGATCTATTTCACCCAATCTCTGGTTAATTAGAAAAAGAACACAGGTAAAATGTTCATTTTTATATTAAGACAAATCTTTCAAACCCTTTTTTATTTTAAAGTTTATAAAGTCAACAAACAATCAAAAAACACAGAAACTTTATATCTCCCCAAAGCAGAAACTAATGATGAAAGCCTTTTCATACAGCATATGTCTGAACAACTTCGTTACTACCTTCATTTGGAAAGTAAAAAAAACCATGAGAATACCCACCTTGCTTTCTGATCCACTGTTTTCTCCTCCATTAGTCATTAGTTCAAGGATTTCAGGAAGGTGACCTACCAGGGCATCTAATACCTATTTAAAGAAAGGCTACATGAATGAGGTCTGTAAATTAATGAAGTCTGTAAATTAACTTGACTTAATTTTTATCTCTCACCATCATATCCCTGCTGACATCTCTTACCTTACTGTTCTCTTATATCCATGTTAAAAATGAAAAAAAGAGATGCAACATATTTGCATTGATGACAAATGGGACTAAAAACTGATGTTTTAAGGTAGCAAATAATATAAGCATTATAGGTGCCAGTTTAGGAAAACAAACTATAGTTCTGATTTATGTGAATGTCACAGTCAATGCTTTATAAACTATTCCAAGCACATAGTATTTTAAAATTAACATTCAAGATCTGTATTTCATGCACCATTCAGTAAGACCTTCAACAAACACAAACATGTTTTTTTATCTTTCAGCTGAATCTTAAAAGCAATTTTTTCTGCTTTAAGAAAAACTTCAGTTTATAAATTAAAATATAATATATAGCCTATGTTAAGAGAATAACCCTATTTTCAAATGTTGTAAAAATTGAAACTAGGCTAGAAAAATACATAATTAAATATTTTTTGGCACCAGCTCTGGCTGAGGTAGTATATAAGACAAAGCACCAAATATTTTTTCTTTATATTTAGATAACTGGTTCAGGGATTAAAACAAGGAATTTTTCAAAATCACCAGCTGCTTCTGAGTCTCAACTTTCAGGTGTTCAATTTGAGAAATCTTTTAAGAATTTCATAAACTGTAAGTAGGTGTTCTGGACCACTTCTAATTTCCTTGAAAATGTCTATCAAAGGGTACACAAAACCAAAAAGGAGCACATGAAAGTAAAATGCATTTTTCTACGCCATATCCAAAGACCCTACATAGAAAACAAAAAAGATCAACTATTGGAATAACTGGTATCAGAGGAAATGGTGATTTTGTCTCAAACATAAATAATTGTCTTTTTTTCCATCCAAAAAAGTCTCACTGTATTGTCTGTAATATAGCTCAGTGATTCATGATTTACACAGGTTGAAACTGAGGTACACTAAACTGTCTCATAAACAGGCACAGATTCTGTACAAGATCTTGGACTGAAACTCTTTCTATAAATCTTGATCTTTGAACCATACATAACTTTTTCATCTCATCTTCAGTTGCGGAAATGGAAATAAAACAAAGTCAAAATCTTGAACTCCATCAATGATCATTTTAATATAGTACCAAAACTAAATCTTTCAACAGAATTTGTAAGGTAATAAATAATGTAGCATTAAAACAATTTAGAAAAAAATATTTTTAAAAGCTAATAAATTCAGAGTGGATTTACTAAATTCAAACACCTTCCTATTTTCCTCTTATTCACAGAAGGATGGCATCTTTATAAAGCATCTGTAAAAGCTGTTGATCACTTCAAACAGCTGCTGTACTGTCTTATTGTTTCAGTGTTCAATAACTCTGCAATCTGCCTTAATGTAACAAGCAAAAGAAAGTTCCAATAAAAGTATATTACCTCCAGTGACTCATCTTGTAATAGTGTAACCAGTTCTTTATGTATTGTATACACACCAGAATTTAAAAGCTTAGCAACCTAAAAAAACAACAGTAAGATAGCAAGGTGAAATACTCTTTAGTTCCACAGCACTACAACAGCTCTACTCCATGTGCTTACTTTACAGCAGCATGAAGGGATGCAGAAAAATTGTTTAATATCAGCCTTCGAAAATTGTGTACTTACCCATTGATGACATGAAAAATATGATTATATAAAGGATATGAGTCAAGAAACAGGCCTACTATCGAACCATGAAACATGCTTTTAGCATTAACTCTTTCACATTTACTGAAAGTTTTTAAGACTGCGCTGCAAGGCTAGAAAAATTTATTCTGAAATATTCAAATGTTGTACTTCATGCTCCTTAGGAGAGTAAAGTCAGTCTGCTATATAATTTACAAAAGATAAAATAAAAAAAATTGGCTTAGCCTGTACTGGATTTAAAGTTTCCCCAAAATTTCCATCTGAAGTTTTCACTCCTTACTTCTTTGTGCTTTTTTTTACTGTCATTCGTAAGTCACACATAAATTTCTGAAAAACACCAGCAGTCAATCTCTACACTGTTAAAAAGGTTTTATAGCAAATATGAGAAAAACTGGAGGAATGAGATTTTTGCCATACAGTATATTTAGATCGATGTTTTTTAATGGTTTTCTTTGTTTAGATAAGCCAAGTGGAAATAAGAGCAATATGAAAATTTAAGGAAATGGCTACAGGGAGTTTATTTAAAAAAAAAAAAAAATTAAAAAATCCACCTAGCAGTGAATGCCATAAATTACTCATTTTTAGCTGTCATGTGGTTGTCTAGTTATGGTGTTTAAATTAAATCAACCACGACTAAATGTACATTCAGACCAAGGTAAAACTTTACAGGTTTTTAAAAATGAGCTAAAATAGTCTCTATTCAGGCAGTACCTTAAAAGTGTTATACATCTAACACAAAATATTATGTAGAATCAGATGGTAATTTTACAATTTCAACAATTATCTTGGACTATCATTCATTAAGACAAGGCATCAAAATGTGACAAGAACTTGAAATCCATCCATCTTTCTTGTAACGGTGGAAATAAAGCCACCTTAGCTTCATTTATGTCTTTACAAGTGATTTAAATGCTTTCAACAAGCTGCTTAACTTAACAATTTCCCTAGTAACGAAATGGGACAAAAGGCTAGCTCAAGGACTGAAACACAAGGATTCTCAGTAAATCACTATGAAAACCTTAAAGATCTCACTATATAGGTTACTACAATCAGGAGAGAGAATGTATTTTCATTTCTGGAATTCACCCCATAGAGCTAATAATTTCTATGCAGTTGTACACTTTTTAACTTTTATGAAAATAATACAGTGGAACCTACGTATACTGAATGGAATAATAAAAATACATATGCTTTTAGATCTGTATAAATTTCCAAGTAGTTTCATATTAAACTGAGCATTTAACTTAGATTTGATCCATATAAATATTCTCCACAGAATACTAGTCTAGTAGCAAACTGTCCAGTTCTAAAGAGGGTTTTCAGGATCAGAAGTGGCAAGTTTCTCCTGTTTGTTTTGTTGTTTTCTAATAGCATCAAAAAGCTTCAAACATTGTAGTTACTACAGTTGCTTATGTTTGTGGTACTAGACCATTATACATTTCTTCTAGCTTTTGCACCTTAAAAGCTTACCTAGCAGTAAGGTAAGGTAAGCAGTAGGCTCTTGTAACCAAATGTCACAGAACTAACGTGCGTATACAGGCCATATATACCAGTTTGAAGGGACTGAACATCTTTGATAAACTAAATAATTTCAACAAGTTTTATCAAGTCTTTTTATTTTGGTTGAACAGTCACAAATATAAGCTTAAAGAAGAAAACAACATAAAACAAAAACACGCAAGTACTAACAAAGAACCCTTGTAGACTTACTTCATAGAAGCTTACGGCCATAGTATATCTGACGGGAACTTCAGGGTCATGACAAAGGCAGAAGAATATAGAATATAGTTCTAAATGAAAGTTCTTTGGATCCACAAAAACAATCATGGCCTGTGGAAAGATAAAGTCTTTTATTAACTGTATAGCTAAAGGACCACACTATCAGAGATTATCAGATGAAAACATTGAGTTACAACCACCAAGACACTTGGGAGGCAAGACGTTGTGATTTTAAAGAAGTGTGCTATTTTTGATGGCCGTGTCAAAACATGGGTACCAGACAAGTTCTGGAGTTGAGAACGTAACTGGATTTACCCATCTTCCAGGCATGCTACAGGCTTTTTTTCTGAAGATGTAGATTAAAAACACAAGATACAAAACCTTAGTTTTATAAATATTGTTAATGTTTCTGTACATTAGTGGAAGCTGCAACTGGAGACCTCAAAAACAAAGAACATTTTTAGCAAGCAGCAGAGCAAGCACCTGAATTTCAACATAATTATGTGTGTACATACCTTGGTTTTGCTCAAATAAATGAACAGACGTCTACCTATATACAGGGTGCTTGTCTTTAAAAGGCAGAATAAAAATAATCATCTACTAGTTCTCAGTACAAATGTATTTTCTTTAAATACAAATGCAGAATGTCAAAATACAAAGTAGTTTTACAGAAACACAAGTGGTAAGTTTAAAGACTTCGCATAAACTTGAAAAGACTTTCTGTACTTAGGCAGAAACCTGACTAAAACATTAATCTAACCATTCAGATTTGATCTTCAACTCCATGGTATGCCACGACACACAGCAAATGTGAAAACCTAACTTTGAGTGGTTTGAAATGGGGCCTCTATTTCACAACTGTTTTCTCAAAACCTCTGTGCTGAAGGTTTGAAGAAAATGTGAGAGCTGTGACCTCTTAGAGCAACACTTTCTCAGTCAAAACTTGCCAATAATTTTATGAAGCTCTGTAAAGAAGAATCTTTCCTAGTAACTCTTTTTGGACAACCTCTAATTTAAGCCATTAGCTTGACCTTTCCAGGAGACAGTTAGAATCTACCTAACAATGTACAATTTGGGAATAACTTCTCTATCACCCACACAGTTCTATTTAGTCAACTACATGCACAACGCAAATTATTTAACCTTAAATTAATGTTACTTACTGGAAAATTGTAAGCACAGTTCTTTCTCACCAAAATATATTTCTTTTCCAGTTCCAGAGTTTGAAGTTGTAGTTGATTATCATTGTGTCCATTTTCCTGCTGTAAACCCAGTGTGGAAAGCTTCTTATAAAATTCCAAAAACCTTAAGTGCTGTTCAGGAGTAAAAATGCCTCAAAAAAAAAAAAAAGTTTACTTTCCTCATTACAAATGCTATTAATAATGTCCCAAAATAAACCTTATTTACAAATCTATCAAATACATCAATTTTTATCCCTCCTCCCCGCAGCCTTAAGTCTAGCAAGCAGTATCATCAGTACACATTATACAGAAAAAGTGATTACAGAAAAACTACAGCTAATTATAACAGAGTGAATCTTAATTTCTGTTTACATAATTTGTGAAATATTCAACACACTAACTGCAGGACTGTGAATATATTTGTTTGTTCCACTAACACTGGCTTCTTCTTGACTAAATTTTTAGATCTTTATGGAACTCAGTCACCTGAAGAAGGCATGTCTGCAGGAAGTTGAAAAATTAGTCCATGTTGCTACAGATAATGAAGAGGTATAAGAATAAAAATAGAAAACTCTGAACAAACTGGAATGCAACTAGCAAGATGAATTCAAAAATTACAAATAATTTTAAAAGTACATCAGTAATAAGAGAACAATCAAGGGAAGGTTCTGTTTTCTATTCAAGAGAGAGAGAGGAAAGGTATCAGTGATTGGTAACAAGAAGGTTGAAATGCTTAATGCTTTTATTTTCTTACTCAAATTCCACTAGTATCATCGGTCTCAGTACAATCGATAACAATGACAAAGATTAAAGCTTTAAGTAGAGAAGGACCAGGTCAGTGAATACTTGAACATGAGAGGTTTTCAAAATGTGCAGGGTCAGATGGCCTTCATTCCAGTATTCAAAAGTATCTGAAGTACTAGCTGCTGAAATCTTAAATATGTGAGATATCAGAAAGGAAAAGAGCTGAAGTGCTACCGATATTTAATAGTTGGAGAGGGAAAGGACAAGCCACATAATTACAGAGCAGTTAGACTACTTTCACATTTTTAAAAAACTTGGAAAAAAAAATCAAAAAATATACTTGTAAATACCAAAAAGGAAACAAGAAAAGGAGTAGAAGCCAACATGGCAAATGTAAAACTTGTCAAACTGATTCCTTTTCCTTCTAGTACTGGATAATAGGATCTGTGAATACAACATATGCAGTAAGGTCATGTTTTTCGCAAGCAAAATAAGGGATCAGGAAAGAGAGATTAAAAACTATAAAGGTGTTGCAAAACTAGTTGGAAAAACAGGTAAGAGAAAGTTACACAGGGCTCACTGACATGACTCATATTCTAATTCTGGTACTATTCAGTATTTTCATTGGCTTTTTGGATGCTAGATTAGAGACTTCCTATTAAATATTCTACAGAAGATAGAGTGTAAAATGATCTTCAGAAATTGCACATATGGTCTTAAAACTTTAGACTATTATTCCACTAGGACAGAGGTAAGGTACCATGCTTAGCCAGATCTGCATCACCTGCACTAGGCCAGGAAAGAGAAAGACTAACTAGCTGCCAGATTCATAACAAAACAAAACAAAAAAGGCTTAAGAGGCTGCACTTGAACGAATAATGTCAAAATATTGCAAATTGTTGCAAAAAAAAAAAAAAGGCAGTTTTTCATACTGAAAAACGTAGAGAGCAATACAGTTTGCAAGACTCATGAAGTAACTCTTTCACTTTGTTCAGCTCTCCTAAGGTGTAACACTTCAAGAAAAATATTAACTTGCCAGACAGAGTTCAGAGGTGAAGAGAGATCAGCAATTAAAGTCATTCAACCTAGAGAAAAGAAGACAGGGAAGACTCGATAAAAAGGATGGACTGTACTAGCTCTACGTTTCTGTAAATAACAGTTTGACACTGTGGAACAGACCTTTCCAGTTATCTGTAGTGAAGCAATCATCACTTTGATAGTTTCTAACATGATCATAAAGGATCATTTTAAAGATCTGTAAGAAAGATCAAAGGGTTTAAGAGTCTAGGGGGAAATTCTCTATAATGTAAAACCATGATTCTGTACTGTCCCTCCCCAGGTAAGGTCTGCGTAGAGGGTATATGGTGGGAAGAATGATCAAGGAAAGATCTGCTGTGCTCAGGTGAAAACCACAAAAATTATAGGTACAGATTTGGCCTCAGCTGCAGCTGGCAATTCATATGCCTTTATGTCTCTTTTATCCCCTGAAGTTCCTTATGGGCCACACTCTGTACTGTGCCTCAAAAAGGACATCAAGCTGAGAAGTGAATATACACAGTTAACATCATACTGTGTTTTCAAAGTTTTCTAGTTTCAAAAACTCAGTCATCCAACTCAAAAGTTCCAGAATATCCAAGAAGGAATCAAAATAAATCAGTCAAACCAATGAAAACAAACCACAATGTTTCGACCTCTGTCCCTGTCTAAACATAGCGACACTCAAACAGGAAATTCACAAAATCCAATATTTATTCAATAGATTATTTCAGACTTTTACTTCCATATTTCCTTTCCTAACTATCATTTAATTTTATACATTCAAATCTGGATATTTTCCAAGGGCCTCAAATTCTCCAATCATTCCTCATTTTTAAGATTTTTTTTAAAAGAACATTAAATCATACCATATAATCCATTACATAGTTTCCCTAAATGGAAAGATAAAGAAACTAGGATAGATTCATCTGCTTTGAAGGATTTTTCACAGAATGATTTCACTAAGGGGAGCACAGTTTGACTCCTGTCATCTGAAAAACAAAAGAAATTTTCATAGTTAGGCATTTGTCAACAACTAAAAAAGAGCACAGAGAGTGAACTTCCATAATAAGCTATGAAAAATATATTTTAATATGCTCAGGAGTATTTTTGGCAGGCACTCCAACTGGAGGTTGAAAACAAGAGGTACAGTGAATGATAAACATACTACCATAATAGAGGTCCTAAATTTTAACACCTTACCTGTTTTGTTTGTTGTTTATTTGTTTTTATGGAAAAGGTATCCCCCAGTAAAGGATGAAAGAGAGCATAAATGAACACAGGGAGAGAAAGAATACTGCAGTACTCCTACAATAAGATTTCCTACAATAGTAGGAATACAGGGAGACCAAGACCAAACATGACCATGACAGTAAAAAGAAAATTCTGGATATGCTGGAAGTTTTGGGGTTTTGGGGTTTTTTTTGTTTGGTTGGTTGGTTTTTTGGTTTTGTTTTGTTTTGTTTTTTTAACTTACTAAGAAGAGATTGAAAATCTTTTGGTAAACAATAAATTCACAGAGAAACAAAATAATTAAGGGCAGAGGAAATTAAATCATTTAGAAATTAAAATAAAATCCAAGAACTCTGCCTCATAATATAAAGCAGCAAATGTTCAAAGAAATTTCTATGTTTTGTCTTGTTTTAAATAGAAGCATTATATTTTAAAATATTCAGGTTTTAAAGATATTATTTTTTTAATGGTAGATCAACACCAAAATTCAGCAAATAATTATGGCTGAACAAAATATTTAGGTTGACTTAAAGAAATATTTTGATACTGTGGGAAAGAAACCCTAGGATATAATTTTGGGTCATCTACCTTCAAAACGTTCATTTTCTAGTTCAGCCACAAAACCAAAAACCACACAAACTAAATTTCTAGAAACATACTCCTTACAAACCTGTAAGTAACCCACGATTGCTTTCCCTAAGCTTTTTTTCAATAGTTAAAAGCAGTAGTTACAGCAATTGGGGGTGGGAGGGGAGGAGTGAAGACTGTGAGGTGCAAAGAGAAGCACGAATTTGATGGCATCAATGCAAAGGCTCAATAATTTGAAAGAAATAATTAATAATTTTAAAACAAACCTATCACCATACTTACTGATATAAGCAGTAATTGCTAAAATGTATGGTATTCTGCCAAAAATCTTATTTCTTTATGTACTCCTTCATATGGCTTATATGCAACCATGTATTTTAGTAATTCATCATCAAGTTCCTGTACAGTAAATATTTGCTCCTCACTTATGTATCAGGAAGGAGTACTAGAGACAGTAAGATGGGAGTGGGAAATGTGGTGGAAAATACAGAGTTGATAATGAAGATAAACAACTGAAGAGTTCGGAAAAAGGCAGTATAAAGAGCAAACTGGAAAAAAAGTGAGCGGTGATCAACAGTATAAAATATTTTTTTCATATACACTATAGCAATCATCTGTCTTGTACTGTGCTGCTTTGTACACTGCCAGTGGTAAAATAAATAAATAAATAAAAACAGCAAAGAGCACAATTGATACAGAGCCAGAAAAGCTGTCTGTTTCTGTCTCCTACATCCTGCTAAAAAAAATCTAGACAGAGTAGTTGATTTGAGGACAAGGCATAGTGATTACCCAGAATGTTCCCCTACACTGGAGCAGTCACAGTAAGTCTCCTTAAATTTTGCCCCAATCAATGCTGAACTGAACGTGTGATGAGAATCCAAAAGCTATGTGTGTAGGTAACCCACCCCCATGATGCCAAAAGAACCAGATACAACAGAGAATTTCTCCTTCCTTACATGAAGACACAGACACTCACCCCTACACCTGCAGAAGCATGAAATATGCATGTTGATCAGAGGAAAGATACAGAGTGCTGAGAAAAATTAAAGCATTTACATTTTCTGTTTTAAATACAGAAAAGCTTTATAAAATACACACACTTTCTCATTGCAAAGAAAGCTTGCAGTGCCATATAGCCACAAGTTTAAAGGGATTTAAATAGTAACTGCTGATGCTCAGTACCTCTAAAAATCAACCAATTGGGCACACTGTAGTTTATGGGACATGAAGAAATATTTTCTGTTCCATAATTTACAAATGTATTTGCCATATAACATTGGAAGTTGAAACCTGAAAGTTTTACTGACACACGCACAAATATAATATCACTGCCTCAGTCTGGGTTCTTCAGCTCAGAAGGCAGGCTGCAGTCTGTGGATCGGACTAGCTTTACTTCAGTTAAGAGGCAAAAAAATAGTTAACAGCAAAAAAAAGCACAAGCAATGGCATCTGTTGAGCTAACATTTTGTATTCTGTGTATTGATTGCATTAATTAAATACTAACAACCCAATATTCCTATCATTTATACAGTAATTTTACTAATTCTATTTATCCACATTATACTAGAAACTTGTAATAAGATAACTGATTTCATGGACAACTGGTTCACCTTCCTTAAAACAATGCATAAAGCACTGCAAGACATGAAATACATAAAGGAAAAAACAATAAACAAAATAAACATCAGAATGTCTGAAGAATGCAGACAGAAGAAAAAGCATTTAAATACATCTGTAAGATGCATTAAGAACTGGGCTAGTAAGTCTAATTAAATTCTTACCTGCATCAAACATATCGAGCAGATTCACTAATGTCTCAAAAGCTGCAAGGCGTACACTGCTGCCCTCATCTCTTGCCAGTTCTACTAACTCAGGAAGCACCACAGTTTTTGTTAGTTCTGTCCTGCAAAGTGAGGCAAGCAGTCAAGAAAAAACATATAATGAAACAGTATTGCCACAGCAAAACAGAATTCTTCCTTGAAATACTCATTTAGATATTTTTGGGGTAGTCAAGAAGGAAAAAATAACAAAGTTCTAAGGAAATGAAAATTAAATAAAAACTTCCAGCCAATCTCAGGACTTTTTTTTCCTTTGTCAGCCAAAGAAATATGCAAGTTCAAAATGCAAAACTTCATCACTAAAAAATCATTTGAATTAGCTCAAAATAAGAGAAAATACAATCTGAAAAAAAACTCAAAGGAGACCAGCTACTACAGTGTGTCACTAAGAAAACTCTTCTGATCAAATATGCAGAAACCGTTCAATGTGGTTGGTCCAAAGCCAAAAATTATTAAATATGAGGCATGTTGGATTAAAGTGTCTGGAAATCTTATGCTTCAAAAGATGAGCCTTTTTACAGATAGTAAGCAACTACTGCTTAGAGAAAACATGGTTTCACAATTAGTCCAAACATTAGCTTTTAGGCTCGTTTTAAAGTAGTAAAGAAAGAGTTCTACTTGTCTCTTTTTGCTTTGGCAATTAGCATTGTCTGTGTGTGTGATGGTCCTAACAACTTGAATCTATACATTGGCAGAGTGCTGTATCAGGGACTGACCTCAGAATCAGAGTTTCATCAGAGAGAAGAGTAAGGAGGACTTAAATTCTTTTGACACAAACATTTGTGGAGTGAGGCTACTGGCATAAGTAAGATGAAAAGAGATTTGCTTCTTGGAGGAAAGGTACAGCTCCTGTAGAAACTACCAACCAGCATAATCCCATGTCCCAGTGTATAACTGATTCCTGATTGCTTTAAGAGATTAAAAAGATCTTTTCTGCAGCCCTACTATCAAGAAGAATTGAGAAGACATACCCAGTATTTCCGCCTTTTTTTCCATCATGTTCATTGTTTTATTTATAGTAGTCAAGATTTCTAATGTTTGAATTTGTCTGCACTTGAGCTAAGAAGCCCATTTTGTCCTGTTCTCATGTATGAGGTCTCGGTCAGCTCATCAGTTAGTGAAAGCTGTTGTAAGCACATTTAAGAATGGGATCTCAGGAGTTTATAATAACCAGAGATCCGGCCTTCAATGTTTATACTGCCCAAACCATAAAACTGCAGGGAAACAATGATAAAATTACACTACATGAGTATTAATCAAGATGACCAAATTGAAACTACATTGGACAGTTTGAGCAACTGTGTACTAAGAGTTTAGACTCTGTCATTTCAATCACAGTTTTTAGATACAGAACTGATCACAACCTCCAGGGTGGCAGATTTTTACTGAAATAAAAATGCTCCAAAATACCTGTTCCAATCAGACTAAACAACTAACAACTGTCCCTTTTGTAAGTCAATATGAACAATAACACTTTCAAATGTTTATAATCAGCAAAGTGATATGCATCTTACAGATTTTATTATTGTTACTACCAAATCAAGATGCTGCTTAACAATATTCTTACAAACAGATCATTCATATAAAATTATGAGAAAATAACATAATGTCATTTAGTGGTAACATCTCAAAATAGTAAAAATAAGCATTGGGACTGTTGTCACGTGTCATGTGCTTATCTCTGTTTATTTGATTGTCTTTATTTTCCCACTACCTATTCATCCTCAATGTGAAACATTGCAATAGTTTACATACCAAAAATACCACCTGGTCACCATTTGTTAGGAGAATAAAAATTAAACCATTTAAATCATTAGGAAGAGACTAGACAAAAATCTGAGAGAGGGAGTGAGAACAGTGTACACGGATACATAAATGCTAAAAATAAACATTGTAAAGAAAGAAAAAAAAACACAAAACAGGCCACTAATTGATAACTATGTATTTAGCCCATTAAACCAGTATTCTAAGGCTGGGTAAATTGCCAGTAATACTGTCATTTGTCACTGCATAACAGCTATCTTGTTTTAAGACTTTCAGCTCCCAGGTATAATACATTCAATTTAGTTAACAAACAAAACTGCTGAAAGCAGATTCACACAAACTGTGAGTGCTCCTAAAAGCTACCACTAAAATCATCTTTCAATTAGCAACAGACTGAGCCACAGAGCAAAGCAACCTGTATGGACGTACATTTTTAAAACATAAAACATGTTTCCAGTTAGAACCAAAAGGAATATTCTTTAACTATACATATATTCTAGATAAGAATTATTTTACTCAGTATAACATTTTTAAAAAAAATTATTGTGCTGTATTATGTATCGCAAATAATTTTCAAAGCCAAATTCATGTGATTGATTCTCAGCTCTTGACTATAGTTGAAGTTAACTGAAAAGGTTAGAGAAATCCACAGAAATGCAGACTGTATCTGAAATAAGACCCCAAAAAATCCCACGGGATTGAGAAGTAACAAATGAGAAAGGAGAAGAGAAGGTGATTGAGACAGACAAGAACACACGGCCTAGGAAGAGTCAGGGGAGTGAGTGAACGACTGGACTACAAAAAAAAATCATAAAAATCAAGACCCAGAAATCAGGAAGCAAAAAAAGAAAAAAAAAAAAGAAATGCTTTGGAAACGTGTTTCTGTGGATTTCCATTTTGGTGGCATCAGAAAACTTCAAACTAATAGGACAGTTAGAACTGTCCCTCCCTTCAAAACTCAGGAGATATGGGAAAAAAACCCCTACCCTAGTCACTCTCTGAAGATAAACAGAACCCTCTCTTTCACTCATCTTTAATCTCCATTAAACAGAATTCAATTTTAAGATACATAAAGATACATGAGATACATGCATACAGTAAAAATAAATGCAAGCTCAAATTATTCAGCTAGTTAGTTTAGTAAAATGACTGTTAAATTTTCTATTTTACAAATACCAATATCAACAAATACTCCTTTCTTTTCTGTAATCACACGTTCTTTTAAGTCTAAAGCCATTCAATATGGAAAATGTCAAAACAATTTACCATGTTACCCTACATTTTGTTACAAAAGAAAGTAAGTACAAAGACAAATGAATAACTTTACTGAGATGAGTAATATTGTGATTTCACATTATTCACGTCCTCTGAACTTTTGCAGGACAAGGACCTTGCAGAACAGCTGCCTACAGCACATATAAGATTTCTTTGTATGCAATGAAGACAAGTTTATCTAGGAATCTAGAATGTACTATTCTGTGTGACCTTGTCAAAATAAAGTTAAATTAAGTACATCATAGTAAAACTTAGTTCTTGATGTGAATATTTATTCTCTGTATCTGAGTAAGCTATAACACTGCCTGAACATATAATTTTCCAATATTCCATGGCTGAGAGGTAAATCACATTGTTTCAGGAATTTCTCGTGTTTTGTTTTTATTTGTTATTTAAAATAACAAACAGCTCTGAAGAGAAGGACTTGGGAGT